ACGCACGCACGCACGCACGCACGCACGCACGCACGCACGCACACACACACACACACACACACACACACACACACACACACACACACACATATATATAACAGGTACTAATAGCGAATTCGATTTGATGCACCAGTGCGCACTGCATATAAAGGTTTATCACACACAAATTCACAATGACACAAGTAATTAAAAAAGGAAAATAATTAATAGTAAAAGCTATTATTATCATTATTCATATTGAACAACAATAATAATAGCACTTACTATTAATTATTTTCCTTTCTTAATTACTTGTGTCATTGTGAACTTGTGTGTGATAAACCTTTATATGCACTTAGTGCGCATTGGTGCATCCAATCGAATTCGCTATAAGAAAAAATTTCATAGGAATCGCAGCAGCATTTAAAATATTGATATATGACAATATATTCATGCGTGAGTCTTTTTATAAATCGCTGTTACTTGACAATTACGATATATAGCGCACTTATTGTTATTTGATTAAAGATGAGAACAGAGTCTAATTATGGTGACTTTCTTACGCGATTCTACTATCTTATCGTATAATATATCGACAATATTCCGATATCATCGACTCTCTGAATAAAAGAACGTAGAAAGACGCCCGTGTAATTCGGTTCTAACGCGTGTTATCTGTGATTTTATCATTTGACAAGCACACGCGTTAAAATCAGCGGCAAATACAAATAGATTAATACTGGGGAGAGGGGCATGTGCAAGCAAAGATCAAAGTTTTAGATTTGTTATTACCATTATCTAAGTGATAATATTTTCGTTAACTCTTTGAAAGTTATCTTTATTATAAAACGAGAAGAGAGAAAATACAAATTATTTATATTTTCTTAAATCAATTATGTATATAGTTATTTTTTATATATAGGTATTGATAAGTATAGAATTTCAATTATATATAAATCAATCAATATCAAGTTATTGTCTTCACAATGAAGATAAGAAGTAAATCGACCGGCGATAACAGATTGGAAATAAAAATATATCGCGGCTTGAGAAGAAGAAGGTTACAACAAAACAAAATTCTTCGAAAGTCATAATATAAATAAAAAAAACCTTTTTTTATACATGCATATAAATGATATCATTTGACTAGTAATTTGCTTTCTTCTTTTTGCAAATAAAACATTAAAATAACACAAAATATTGCTGTTGAATACGATGTTTTTGTCGAGTAAAATGTGTAATTTTATTTCTCAAAAATAAAATGTTGTCAAGGTTGTCAAGATGTAAAATGTGTCCAAGGTGTATTTCCATATTTATCTCGGCTTCGAGAAACTGACCTCAATTCAAATAGGTATCCGATCACTCTCGCCGGATACATCAATTTGACAACAGAAATAACACGTAGAAAAATACCGTACGATAACGGCACATTCGAGGATCAAAGTCGTCACGTTCACACGGTCGTGGGAGAAAAGCAAACGCCTCGGCGTTGGTCAACAATCATAATCGACATGCTCGCGTAATTTCATTTCTGCCACGCGGCCTCGTTAGTATGCTCTCGTTCGCGCAAGGTGAGGACCAAACGCCGGCTGCCTATGTTGGGGAATCCGCGTGTATTCTCCCTAACAATGTTTGTTATAGCAGACGTACGTCGAGGAATGCGCGCATTATATCATTACGCACTATTACCCATTACATACCTCGTTACACCGTATATATCGTATATTATCCTAGATACGCCGGAGGAAAAAGTGAGGATCCTCTCTTTCTTTCATCTCGCTCTCGCGTTTATGTCTTTCTCTCTCACTCTGTATGCCACTGATGAGACTCTCGGACCATTACCATGCACGTCCGCGCGAGCGCGCGTTCGTAACGCCGTACGTGCGCATCGTAATACTTGGCGCGGGCTATCTAATTGTATAGTAAATAACCTTCGTAAATTACGCATATAATGCTTAATACCGAGCAAGCGCAAGCGCGTCATACGGCCGCGCGTCGCATTGTGCTGCGCGCCTATCGCGTTATGACATTCAATTGCGACGTGTCAAGCAATCACGGCCGCCTTACAGACTCCGACACTTTATGGCGCGCAGTGATATTGCACGTGGAGAAGCGTGGTCACCCGCCGAGAAGGATAAAGGGAGAGAAAGACCAAAAAAAAAAAGGAAAAAAGGAAAAGAATCCCAGGTGAGTCTCGAGGCGACGCGACGCGTCGTCTCGATAAATCCAATTTATTCGCGCGAGAGAAAAAGAGTACGAATTATATATATTTATATATAAATAAACGTTACCGTCGCGATGACGTCGATAGCGCATAATTGTTTTATATATTTATATCGTGTCGGGACGCGCGCTTTGACCGGCGATGGATAATTAACGAGGGAGATAAAGCCGTCGGAGATTTTTTTCGCTGCGCGCTAATGGCCGCTCTGTTCCGAGTTCCCTATCCGGTAAGAAAAAAAAATCGCGTTTTTATTTATCTCGTAATTAGCGGTAACGTAAACCCGTACGTTTGATCGATACTTCCGGCGCGCGTATAATTTATTTATGAGACTGCAAATATATAAAACGTTGGGATACTTGAATAAAAAGAATCAGAATCTAGATATGAAATAAAAACTATATAATTACGGTACATTTAAGTCTTATATAATTAATTTTATTTCAAAATATCCATGAATAAAAATTCATTTTTTAAATAATAAGCAAAATCACCAGAGAAAAAAATTATACGTTAAATTATACGAGAGCGATGTTTTAGTTACGCCCGCAAATTGCTCTCTCCCTTTCTCTTTTTACAAATTAAAATTGCGAATATTATTTTTCAAGAAAATGTAAATTTTGCAAAGATTTGCCACGCGACATATTTATTTATCTTGGATCCTCCATGGCATACATGTAGTGAGCAGAGAAAGACAATGTCTAGCCGTCGTGCATATAGGTATACTTTCTCTATAACCGGATCATCGCGGAACAATGTTATAACGGGCTTTGTATCGCGCGCGATTGCATAAGCTCGTACGAAACCTTCCCGGTAACATTGACTTTTTCAAGTTTAATTGGTGCTCATGCTCCGATTACTAATTGCCGCTACCGTGATGAACGTGGCATACATTCGATTTTAGTCTCGAATTGCACATTAGTAATCGCGCCTCAAGTTCGCATATTTAAAAGTACATTACCCGCATGTCGAAGAAATAAAAAATATCTTGTGTACTCTTTATATCCCCCCGCATACAAGCTTAATAAATGTTCATTAAATGTTGAACAAAATATACCATGCATAAAACTCATTGTCAAATAAAACTTTAATAAAAAGTTACACAGTAGAAAAATTTGTGTTCTCTTGTTAAAAATGGTCCCCGGTAAAATTTTGTGTTAAATATTTAACACATTCATGTGTTAATTTAATATAATATTACTGTTCTGTTAATTAAACTTAAATGTTAAATTATTAAAACAACTGAAAAAAATGTAAAAATAACACAATATGGTATGTACATCTATTTTTAATTTTACACAATAAATATGTTCTACTTTATTAGTGACAAAATTTTTCTGTTAAAATTTACAGAAAAAATGTTGATTTTCTATTTTATAATATAAGTGGGGATGATAAAATATAAAATTAACATATTTTTTGTTAATTTTTACATTAAAATTATGTTAATTTTACACACAATTTATTTCTAATTATTTGAAGTTTTGCATTTATTTTGTGTTAAAATATTAACACAATATTTGTGTCTCCATTTAACATATCCATATTATGTTAAATTAACACAAATATTTATGTGGACCGTTTGGGACATGTGATATCTGTTAAATTTAACAGAAATTTTTCAACTGTGTATATTGGATATATACTTAATATATGATACAACACAATACAATATATATAATGTAAAAAATTATATATATAATTTTGTTTAATCATATAGAAAATATATCACTGTATTAATTACATCATGCACAAATATTTTAATAAAAAATTATATTTCTGATAAAATATATTATTTTTAAATATACACTAAAAATTTGTTAATTTAACTAAACCGTTCAACTAAATTACTATTTTGTTAATTGAACATATAGTATTTAAGTCAAATATACGTTTCGTGCAATTAACAAAATAATATTTAGTTGGCCGATTTAGTTAAGTTAACAACTTTTTTTCAGTGTACACAATACATTAATATATTCTTGCTTTATAGCTTTATAATAAGGTAAAATATATTAAACTAAAAAACAGTTACGAAAAATATTTAAGTAAGAAGAAATTCTCAGTTTCTTATTTTGAACGCAATAAATTTATTTTATATTAGCGATATATAATAAAATAAAAATTAGAAATTTTATCAAATTAAAAAAAATATTGTAATTTTGTTTATACATTGAAATTCTATACACTATAGAGCCATTGCATATTGTATATTAGAGCACTCTAATTTTAATAAAGGGGAAAAATATTGCGATTCTCTCTCATAATAACTACATTTTCTATATTTAAGTAGTTTTTGGCAAACATTACGTTTATTTTTTTATGTTTTCTTTCATAAACGGTTATAGAAACCGATTCGAAGGAATATATTGAATATAGGCGTGTTAAATTATATTAAATATAGGCGTATGCAAAAATGAGTTAATTCGTAAAAATATGTAAGTTATATACACGTATCCCTACAGTTAGATTTGAAATATAAAAATTCTTCATTTTATACATATATAAACATTACTTTATCATTATTTCATCGCACATAACATCGTTCTTACTCGCGCATCAAAATAAATCTATAAGAATTTCAAAAAAATATAACCGCCTACGTGACTCCGTACTCGGAGGTTCACCACCATTCCACCACGATATGTATACATATACATCGATACACCAGCGGCTGACTTCACGATTGTGATGAACCATCGCGCGCAAAAAAGCACACGATTATATATTATGTATTGCGTGCATTATACGCAAAATTATCCAGCATTACAGATTGTACCGTAAAAAGCTACACACTTACTTTGTGATACTGAACTCTATCCGGTGTCGACGTCGGTGGTTGTCGATGTTGGTAGACGCCGTTTGTCAAAGATAATATTTACGTTTTCCTCACTGATAACAACTCCACACTGTGGCACTCTCTCTCTCTTTCTCTATATATATATATTGTCGTATATCTCGCGAGAAGAAACCGGGAATCGGAATATTCCCGAATCTCGACGAATCGCGCGACGTAATGATATCGAGACGAAAGGAGGCGAAATGAAAAGAACAGAGAGAAAGAAGGACAGACGGAGGTCGCGTATAACACAGGAAGAGAAGAGGAGGATGACGGACGCGAAACCGAGTGGTCCTGCTCCAGCACAGATCACTGACCAACTTCACTCCGGAACCGACGACGCGATACTGATTTGAGGGAGCGCGACACAACCGGCTTCGCGACGTTCGGCCCTCCTCGGCACTGCTCGGAAACGCTCGGCTCCGCTCGCCTCCTACCACTCTCGCCGCCGCTGCAGCTCGGTGCATAGGAAATGCACGCAAAGGATTAATACCGCGCGTACATTCAGCGTGCACGTATGCGCGATTGTGTACGTATTGCCGTAATAGTCATGATAACGTGTATGTATAAAGGTACACCTACGCAATTTGGATCCCTACGATAATGAAGAATTCACCTATACGTTACGTGAATATATTGATAGTAATATCGTGGATATTTTTCATATCAAATTCTTTCACATCTTACAAAATGTTAGAAAATAAATTATCTATTTTTTTGAGAGTAAATAATGGATTTTTTTAAATAAAGAATCTTAGAAATTGTATATATATATTTTTAATAATTTATAACGTTTGATATTTTGATATTAAAAAAATACAATATATGAAATTTTTCTGTTTGGAATAAAATATTAGTTTTATTTGTATAAAAAATTGTATTTATAAACAAAATTTTGCAAGAGATATGCTATTTTAAACGTTATTTATTACTGAATTTTATAAGATTGCTTTGAATAATTTATATTTAGTACAATTCGTCGCGTTATTTATATATTGAACGCAACATGAAATTGGTGATTACGAAACGCAAGATTTATGAATTTGATAATGATAAACTCGCGAGCGCGTTACATTGCGAGCATTACGGAATTATACAGCATTACAGGTTGTTTCGACGTTAAGTACGATATTCAAGGATATAATAGAATGCGGAGGAACATAGAGATCTAAGCTAATGTTCGTAAAATCGCTACAATAAAGATTGAACGCGCACAACAAAAATATGATGTGTATAAAGTGCGATCTCTACCCCCTGTATCCCTACAATTTCATATCTATCCCTATGATAAAGATCTTGTGTGTGGTCAACTATTATTTAATAATTTGTCAAATCTTTATGTTGAGATTATTTCAGAACAAATACAAAGAAACTAACAGAATGTACACATATTTGTCAAAATAACTGAATAATGAGAATAATAAAAAATTAAGAATATTATTTTACATTAAAATATATTGAAAAAATTGTTTTGTTTGCATTTGCTTCTATAATTTTTCATGATGTAACAGAACTTGCTATTCTGTGTTTGATCAATCAACGACAAGCCAATTCGATTGTCAACAATAGATATACATATAGAATCCAGAGATGCGAAGTAATAAAAAATCAAGAGATTTTTCCACATCAAAATATATCGAAAGAATTATTTTGTTTGCTGTTGCTTTTATAATTTTTTGTGATGGTAACAGAACTTGTTATTCTGTATTATTTAATCGATCAATACGGTGATCATATATTCTACGAGAAAATAAAGGACAAACCTGAAAATTTTATGGCTTTATTTCAACATATTTCCACAAATCAGTTTACGACCAAAGTGGAGATCGACAAAAAATAATTCTGTGAATATCAGAAGTCTACGTATTCTTATAGTTTGAAAATGATTCGATTATGTTAAAACAAATCCTTGATTTTAAATAGTTTCCGGATAAAAGGTTTCATTGCTTTCGTATATAAATGCTCATGTTAATATTACGACATTAAACATTAAAACGCTAAATAAAAAATAAAGGACAAAATTGAGATTTTAAAAAATGAATAAATTTAAAGGACAGCTACTTGAAATAACAGACTGGCCTTTAAAATAAAGGACGTATGGTCACCGTATCGATCAATGACGATGCCGATTCAATTGTTAACAATAGATATAAAAATCCAGAGAAGCAAGATGATAAAAAATCAAGAGTATTATTATATTGAAAGAATTGTTTGGTTTGTTTTGCTTTTATAATGTTTCGCGATGATAGCACTTGCTATTCTGTGATCGATCTTTGATCGAGCAATGACAAAACCGATCCGATTGTTGACGATAAACAGAAATGTAGAGAAGCGGGATTATCGTTTACAGTTCACACGAAACGGAATGTTAAGGCGTAGAATCAGGCCGAGTGTTTTCTTCTACTGCGATGATCCGCGCGGTCGTGAGATAATTATGGAAATGAATTTCGATCGTTATGGAGGCGTAGAGATCTCGAGTCTTCCGTGACATGACTCGGCCTCGACAACGATGATCCCGCCCCAGCACTATAATTTTCCCCACAATTTTCGTGCCTGCGTGTAAACATCCAACGGTACGTTACTATGAAACACGATGTATAACATATATATATATATAGTATCGCCATCATTTCAAAATATTCTTCTATATTCACATTCGCGGATCAAAAATCAAATTTGTACCGAAAAGACAATCATTTCAATACGTATACCTAAACCAAATTATTTCATCTATTATATTTTGTTTTTATCTGAGTGTTAGTTGATAAATTTTCCTCAAATGTTTCAAAGACCTCTTTCTGCAGCATCGCGATTAATAATAACATATATTGTTTTATTACTTATACGGGATTTCAGACTCCAACAATAAGTTTGAAGAAGCTATTCTAGCGGTTCAGCCATGAATGGGACGAGTTATCGGTCAAATATTAACGTCGGTACACGAGGTTCTTAACATTCGACTGTCCCTTAAATTAATCTCGCGACGGTGCTATTCATTGTCAGAGATATGAAAGGATCGCGAGATGACGGAAGCCGGAGAGACATTTGTATAGGCGACGTCTCTCGTGGCAGCAGCGTTTTACAGGAAGAAAGGAGGAGAAAGAGTAACGCGCGCGGAAGAGGATAAAGGGATACCTCGTGTGAGAGAAATTGGACAAGAACATGGGGGATGAAGGGAACCACCGATTCCCAAGCGCGCATTAACCCCGCTTGTATGCGCGGCTCATATTTAACGGCGCGCGCCCGGCGCGGTCACGATTCGTGCATAATTTATCTGAAAGCACGATGAAAAATAGTTTTGACCTCAAGGGGACCACAGGCAACGTCGGGAAAGGCGTTTGCCCGCCACGCACTAGCGGCTGCCGCCGCTACTGTCCGCGATAGAAAGTGGGTGCCCTCGCTTGCGTTATGCGCGAGGGTGCGTTAAACTGGTCCAGCAGAATTGCAGCTCGATCGGTTAATTGTAAGACTGCTGTTAAGAATTGTTCCCGATGTGTTTTTAATGTATTATACGCAGAGAGAATTTTCTTTTATAATTTATCCTGAAAATCGTGGAACATAATTGTGGGACGTATATATGGTACTGGCAGAATTTTATAAAGGTTTATCTGATTAATATTTATCACAATATTAATATTTGCAACAATAAGTTCGATTAATTTTACTACGTACACAGAGAGAATTTTCTCTTAGAATTTACCCTGAAAATCATGGTAATCGTGCGACAATATGGTATTGGAAGAATTTTGAGTTTCTCTGATTAATATTTACCACAATAAAAATTTTACTATGTACATAGTAAATTCTTAGTAAAATTTACTAGTATGTACATATAGTAATATTTTTATTGTAGTAAATATTAATCAGAGAAACTCTTATAAGATTCTTCCAATACTATATTGTCGCACGATTACCATGATTTTCAGGGTAAATTTTAAGAGAAAATTCTCTTCATGTAGATATATTAATATTTTTTATTGTGATAAATATTTAATCAGAGAAACTTATAAAATTCTTCCAGTATCATAAGTATTGTCTCACGATTACCAGAGTAAATTCTAAGAAAAAGCTCTCTTCGTATAGATATTGCCGAATACGTGTGTTTGCTTGACGACGACTTTACAAACATGTAAATACAAATTGTCAAAGTTCTCGAATAAAATAAGAGATGTATAAAAATTATTATGATTGATGTCTTCAAATTTAACACTTTCTTATCACTTCTCTTATAAAATAAGAGAATATATAATATTCTCTTATAAAATAATTCATAATAATTAAAATAAAATAAGAGAAGTGATAACAAAATGGTTAAAATTTGGAAACATCAATTGTATAATAATTTGGAGATTATTAATCATAAAATTTCAAAGATATCATAAAAGACTTATTAGAGAATTTAGATAAATAGACCTGCTTAGTGACTCATAATTGAAAAACGAAGCATTTTCCTATGGTTAAATCGATTTTCGCTAATTCTATTTTTCACCTCACAGGAATATTAAGACACGCGATTTTTACGATTTAGTTACGTATATATACGAGCTGTTCTAAGCGTTTACAAGGTGTATCGTCACGGTTTTAAGCGGTTCCGTGTAACTCGGCGGCATCCTCGATAGGATCTTCTCAAGCCGTGTTATCACCTGCCATAGGAACTTGGTACCGCTCGCTTCAATGGCTTCTTAACGCTATATAATGCTATGAAGAAACCTGTTTGTCATGTATCTCGCTCTCGAGATATATTTTACAGCATTCTGTCGCTCACGTGCAATGTCTGGTACCCAAAGGAAACCATGTTTCTTGCTCTCTTTCGCTTACGTTGCGCGTCGACACAATGAGACTTCCTGTCCCATCGTATAAAATATATACACAGTCTACCTTGAAATCATCGCGAAAGATCTGCGGCCCGATGCGTGGCAACAAGCGTATCGCCGTGTATCATCTACTTCTTTAATTAGCGATATTAAATTAGCGTGCGACGACAAAACGTTTCTTCAACATTCGTTTATGGCCCAACAATTATACTATGGGACTTTTTCTTTCATTTCGCTCTCTTTATAAAAAGAGACTGTTACTATCTTTCAGAATCGTTCATTAAAATACCAAATCACTTGACTAAAAGATTCATATGTAAAAACATATTTTTAAAGTTTTCACTAAGGCAAGAAATATAGAAATTATGAAACATATGGTTTATAATTATTAGACTAAAATATATCAAGTCTCGCCTTAAAATTCTCATGTTTTAAGCTAATCAAGAGAAGGAGAAAAGGTGGAGAGAGAAAGAAAGAGGGAAACTTGTATTTCTCATTAATAATATTACACCTATATAA